GAAGGGGCCTCGTGTGGACGCTGTGGGCGGCAGCCGGTCCTCCGGCACCTCGGCTCCTGGGCACACGGGATTGAGGCCCGAACGGGAACAGGCTGGTGCCCGCGGGTCCGCGCTGAGTGCGTGGCTGTGTCATCACAGCCCCTCACACAGGAAATGAGGCTGTGTCAGGGAGAGCGCACATTCTCCGAGATTTTTATTTTTATTGTTTTAAAATATATTCTTATTGATGTCAGAGAGGATGGGAGAGGGAGAAAGAGAAACATCAGGGACGAGAGAATCGCGAATCGGCTGCCTCCTGCGCGTCCCCCACTGGGGATGGAGCCTGCCACCCGGGCCTGTGCCGTGACTGGGAATCGAACCCTGACCTCCCGGTTCACGGTGACGCTGACACGGAGCCGCACCGCCGGGTGGTGTTGGTTTGCTGTGCTGCCTTGGAGGTCATGGTGCAGACGTGACGAAGCCTCAGGCGGGAGACCTTGTGATGGAAGTTCTTCCTCAGCAAAGGCATCCCCGTCCCCGTCCTGCGGGCGACATCCGTGTCCTGCGGGCGACATCCCCATTCTACAGGTGACATCCGTGTCCTGGCATGAAATGGCCGTGTTGTGTGTGCGGAGCTGCTCCATTAGGAGCCCGCGGACCCTCACTAATCGGCACCGTTACTTCCAGCCGCTCGCTTGCAAGGGGAAGTGGGCGGGAAGTTCCCGCCTCGGGGATTGGGGTGACAGCACACGGCTCCCTGTGGAGAGGGGCTCCAGGCTGTGAGCCTGGCCCTCATGTGTCCGTCAGGGGGGCCGAGCGCTGGATGTGGGGGAGGGGGGTTTGGGGGGCTGCTGCTCAGGGCTGCGCCCTCGGATCCGTCCTTTAACGTTTGGGTTCAGGATCCTTATGTCTCGAAAGTGAAGGAGCTGGGACTCAGTAGCATCAGGAAAAGGCCCCCTGCCTGGCCGGGTGGCTCAGTGGTTGAGCGTCGACCTAGGAACCAGGAGGTCAGGGTTCAGTTCCCGGTCAGGGCCCAGGCCCAGGTTGCGGGCTTGATCCTCAGTGGGGGGCGTGCAGGAGCCCCCGGCCCTCAGGTGTGCGTGCGGGAGGAGGGGCCTGCGGGCGGAGGAGGGGGTGGCACTGGCACGGAGCGGGCAGCCCGTCCGCAGGGAGAAGGAGAAGTTGTGTAAATTGCGGCCCGGCTGCCTGTGCCCCGGGAGACAAAGGCCCCAGTGTGATCCCTGAGCTGAAGGTTGGAGCCTCTTTTGGAACACAGCAGCAGTTAAGTGGACGCGGAAATGTTGACCTGTTTTTGTTTTTTTAAATATGTCTTTACTGATCTCAGAGGGAGGGAGAGAGAGACATCAACGAGGAGAGAGAATCATGGCTCGGCTGCCTCCGGCTCGCCCACTGGCCTGTGCCCCGACCGGGAATCCGATCGTGACCTCCTGGCTCACAGGCTGGCGCTCCTGGTCACCCCAGCCCGGCCTCTAGGGAGGGAGACGCCCGGAGCCAGGACGGAGAATCGCGGCCTCAGCTGCCCGTGGGCGCAGCGGCAGAGCCCGCGAGGCCTGGAACGCCTCCGTCTCACC